ATTTGTTTATGAATTTTTATCCCCTCATCCCCCAGGCTTCCCGTTCTACGTTTACCGTAGGTAACAGCACAAAGGGGCAACCACTTTACCAGAAAAAAAATCTGTCCCCAGCGCAACGTACAACCGACCACACAACAAGAACGGACCATTTGATTTAGTAAAACCTGTCCCCAAGCGTCTAAAAATAGCTAATTCTCTAGCATCCAGGTAGCTTTCTATGCCGTACTGCCACCCGGGCACGTGACCGGCGCAGAAAAACTATGAACTACGACGTCACTCCAAGATCCTCCTATTGGGAGGGCAAATCCTCCCCTGTCCTTGGGAGACTGTAGAATGGACTTGAAAAATTGTGGCCTCAGAAAGAGCATCTGGAAGATGACCAAAGAAAAAAGTTTCATTGTACATGTCTTTCAAGTGGGGTCTAAGCAGGGTAGAGAAGGCCTTATAATAGTCAGCTGTGAAATCATCAGGTCCAGGGGACTTGCCACCCTGAAGTGAGCCAATAGCCTACTGTACCTCAGCAATTGTGCACCAAGTGATTCTACGTCATGGTGCTACGTCCCTTAGGACTTCGCTAGTGGGATATCACTCGTGACCCCCAGGTCACACGCCAGAGAGATCAAAATAATTTGCTCCAATCACCAGCCACCCTCCTCTATAAAGGCCCCTGCACAAGGCCGCACCCCCCCTTTCACTCTGGCGCCGATTGAGATCTACCACAGTACTTACTTTATTCCAGAGAAAGATGTCTTCTGATGCTCGTCCGAGTTCCCCTTCGCCCTCCGGCGTCGGATGTCGTCGTTGCTCGACATGTCGAGTCAGGCTCCAGCGCACGGACCAGCACTCCAGCTGCTTCATGTGCCTGGGCCCGGGCCATGCGGCGTTGAGCGCCACCTGCACCGCGCCACCTGCACCAGGCGTGCGTACCTCGCCGCTGCAGCGCCCCGTCCGGACTCCTCTCAGGACGAGGAGTCTGAGACTGACTGGGCCCCACTCGACCTTCCACCCGTGCCCGCGGAGTGGGGTGACTGTGAGGACGGAGAGGTTTCGGAGGTCGGCTCCCTCCTCACGCTGGACGAGGTGGTGTCGAACCCGGAGCCGGACCGCTTCCCACTGGACCATATGCCTGGGCTCTACTCCTCCGCGACGGCCATCATGGATGCCCCCCTGCCACCGCAGCCGACCCAGAGGGCGGAGGACTTCACCTCTGGTTACGTCACCACTCGAGGGAGGAGGAGGATACAGCCCACATTGTGCCCGCGGATGGACCCGATCGTCCATTACGCGACACGTGAGTGGCCAAAGCCCCTAGCGGCCAAGAGGCCCGCTTTGGGCTACGGCATGTATTGCAGCATGCAGGACTGGTCCTGGACCGGCGGGGTCCCGGACATCGAGGATTCGGTCCGCATGGCCCTGCACCCCTCCGCATCCGTGTGGCCCGGCACCAAACCTCTCCTTCCCTCCGAGCGGGACAGGACGTCTTTGGCTATGCTGGACAGATGTTACGCCAATGCGGCACAGGTCGTCGCTGTGGCAAATAACATGGCCTTCATCACGGGGGCCCTGGATAGGTCGCTCTCTTCTTGCCAGGCGCTCAGTGGAGACACCTTATCGCAGGCGAGGACCACTTCAGCGGCGATCCTGCGCATGTGCCAGGCGCTAGCTGTCGATGGCGGCCGCTCCATGGCAGCAGCTCAAGTCGGGGGCCAGGCACCTTTGGCTTGGGCTAGCCAACATCAGGGAGGCAAGACATCCCTCTTCGGTCCGGACATGCAGACCCTGGTGGCTAGACTGGAGGCCGCAGCCAAGGACTCGGCTAGCCTAGCCCAGCACCTAGCGCCGAGGCGCGAGGCCCGCCCACCAGCGCGGAGCCGGGACAGAGGCAGGTAGCGTTCGCCCGGGAGGCGCCCTGACCCATATCCACGCTCTGTGGCCTATCGTCCCCCCTCGACGAGGCCCCCGGGTCCAGACAGGCCCACGGGAGGCTCGCGGGACTAACGCACCCACCGCCGACCTCCCTATAGCAGAGGAGGTCGGGGTGGCAAGAATTCTTTCAATAAAAGCCGACCGGCATTTCATCATTACTCGCTGTCTGAGTCTCATTTGGGGGTATGTAACATGTCAAATAACCTTGTGAATTCTGATTGTGTTACTTCTCGAGCACATAACGTTGCTTCGCTAGGCCTGCAGCCCCCAGAGCAGGGTGTGTAGTGCGCTACGCGAGCTACGAGCTCCGGTTCTCTGGTTCATGCTATGCCCTCCCAGAGAGAGGTCAGGCGGAGGGATCTGGTGAGTAGTGGTGTGTGTGCTTCGGCCGAACGCGTGTTAGCATCTCTGAGCTACAAGGCTAACACGGGGTCTCCCACTCCAGGGGCTCGCCCCCCCCTCCATGAGGCAAGAGCCGGGGGGGGGCACAGCAGCCGAGTCACGTGGGATGAGCAGTCCCGTACTTATGACGTCGGGCCTGCAGGACACGTGACCGCCCCCGGCGCTCACGGTGTGACGCAGGGGGCCCCCCGGCCCTTTCGTCCACCCCCCCTCCCTGCTAGGAACACCAGGAGAGGGCGGGGCCGTGACGTCTCGTGTTCCAGCTCCCGTTCCGCCCCTCACAGACTTCTACAGCATCTGGAGGGAGCAAGGTTTGCTGACAGATCTATGGCTGGAGAAAACATTGCGCAGGGGTTACGCACTGAAATTCTCCCGGAAGCCACCACCATTCTGAGGCGTACGGGCAGCACGCTCTCAGGTACGGGGATCATTAGAAGCACTACAAGCGGAGGTCTCCTCCCTGCTGAGTCGAGGCGCAGCAGTGGAGGTAGACCCGCAGGACGCCACCAGGGGGCTGTACTCCCCTTACTTCTTAGTGCCAAAGAAGTCAGGCGGGGTGCGTCCCATTTTGGATCTGCGCGTTTTGAACGAGTGCATTTCCAAACGGCAGTTTCGGATGCTGTCCACAAAGCAGCTCCTCGAGTGTGTCAGGCAGGGAGATTGGATGTCCTCCATAGACCTGACGGACGCTTACTTCCACGTGCCGATAGTGCCGGAACACAGGAGGTTTCTGCGCTTCGCAGTGGGAGAGAGGAATTACGAGTACTGCCGTCTCCCCTTCGGCTATGCACTCGCGCCTCGCACTTTTTCCAAGTGCGTGGAGGCAGCACTGGAGCCGCTCAAACGCGCAGGGGTAAGAATTTTAACCTACATAGACGACTGGTTAATTCTGGCCTCATCCAGGGAAGTGGCCGTGAGTCACACGCACTGGGTCCTGTCCCACATACAGCGTCTGGGCTTTGTGGTGAACAGGGAGAAAAGCAAGCTGCAGCCAGCTCAGCGCATGATTTATCTCGGCCTGCAGCTAGACTCTGTGACATTCCGTGCTGCATTGTCCGTGGACAGACGGATGAACATTACCCGTCTGGCCAGGGAGGTTCTGGCGGGCCCCAGAGTCCCCGCTCGGCGCCTCAGGTCCCTGCTGGGTATGATGGCGGCGGCTCATGCTGTGGTGCGGCTAGGCCTTCTCCACATGAGGAATTTTCAGAGGTGGTTCTCACGCCTCAGGCTTCACCCCTCCCGGGACGGGGGGAGGCTGATCTGGGTTCCCCAAGTGGCAGCATCGGACATCAGGTTCTGGCTCACTCCGGGTCTATTGCGGGACGGAGTGACTCTGGCCTGCGCCGTGTCTCACGTGGAGGTGTTCACGGACGCGTCACTCGAAGGATGGGGCGGGGTCCTCGGCCAGAGCTCTGTAGGAGGCTGCTGGTCGGACCTCTTAACATCCACCCGCCTGCGGGCAATTTTTATTTTTAAAATGTTCTGATGGCAATAGTAGATGTATTTTAACCCCACAAGCAGGTATGTCATTTTAAAGCTTATTTTCTTATCTACATTTATATACAAGTAAACTATATGAAACTTTGCATTCAAAAGATACAACACATAATATGGGCACAAAATAAATCCCTTCTGAATAAGTTGTTTTCCTTTGCTCTTGTGCTCCATAAATAAATCAGATCTCCTTCCAGGATCCTAAAGCTCTTTCACTCTGTAAATGTCCATAAAAAAGAATATCCACTTGTATTTTCCAAAGTATAATCCATTCTGGAGAAATAATCCAAAAATGTGCGTTTATCTTTTTCGAAAAAAAAAAAAAAACATTCTGAAAGAACACAGAGGCTCCTTTTTCACTGTTATCGGAGTTTCAGCTTTGTTTTTCACCCACACACAGAGATACACACAATGGCACAATTTGGCACAAAATGTGCCAAATTGATGGCTGTTTTTCAGCCACTTTGATGCCAGCATGGACACCTCCCCCACCCCCCACTGCTTTAACGCCCCATCACCCATCGGCTCCTCTGCCCCTCCTGCCCCCACCCTGACAATAGCTTCAGAAGATATCAAAAGACTTTTCTCAAGGCTGCACCCCTGTAAAGCCCCCTGACTAGACCGTGTCTCACCTGCCACTCTGAGGCTGAGTTTACACCGAGACAATGTGGCAGTAAAACGCTATAGTTGGATGTCGGTTGCTACCAAACCGTTCATACGAAGACTGTGTTCCAGGTGGGTGAAAACGTAAGAGTTCAGATTCAGCCTGCAGAGTGGGCATGGGGCTGGGGGTTGCGTGTGTGGGCTGTAAAGTTCCTCTGCCTACTACTGGCCGGGCGCTAGAACTACATTGTTTTTCAACCTCGTATGAACGCTGAGAAATTTGCATAAGGAGCCTGGTCGTTTCTGTTAATAGCCTGGAAACGTCTGCGCAGCGTCTCAGTATAAACTGAGACACTGCACCAGAGAGCTAACTCTTAACTTCACTGACATTTTCAACACCTCGCTGGAGTCTTGCCATGTTCCGGCCTGCTTCAAATCCTCCATCATTGTCCCTGTCCCCAAGAAGACCCTGACTTCTTGTTACTCACATGGCAATAAAAGGATTCTGACATTTCATATGCACTACAGCACATTCCATGGAGCAGACAGAGGCATGTTGTGTTGCGTAGACTTACCCAGGATGCCTTTGTGTGACCTTCTCCATGTAGGCCCCCACAATAGCCTCGGCCTCAGCCTCTGGCACCTGGGCATTCCCGGTCTCTCTGCAGTTCATGTTCAGGTTGTGTGACTTCTGGCCTTGGTAATCCACAGACTTAATCTTGAAAGTTTGAGTCCATTTTGCTGGAGTGTTGTCGTTCTCTTTGAGTGGCATGCTTTGCACCACAGACCCTCCAGACTCATCCCACTGCTCCCACGCCTTCCACTCATCCAAACGTATTCCTCCAAAGTCCCAGACGTTGGGAGCCTCAAATGTTTTGTTTTGTTTTACTTCTGGCACTTTTGAGAGCTCTGCTAACCTCTTTATTCTTCTAGAATTTCCTTGCTTGGATACTTTTAATAATCTTTCCTTGTGACTTGTTGTTGCATTTTTTTTAGTCCTTTTTCTCTTCATTTTGGGTCTTCTCATAATTTTTTGGCTTTGGGGCTTGGATGGTGAACGGACGGCCCCAAAATTTTCGCCAACAGATAGAATTTTGCGGCCTGAAACACACAGCATAAATGACTGAAATGGAATGACGCCAAAGAGAAAACTGCAAAACACCTACCAATTTCACCTACAGGCTCCGGACTGTCCATGATCATGTTGTGAACAAACTCTTCCCTGTGAAGGAGAGTTTCATTACTTATGATACACCTTCCTGCATCGGCAAGGAAGATTTTCCTGAATCTTTGTCAGAAAAATGCACGGAGATTTTATTTCTAAAATCAGGAGTGGTGGTGGGCACTTCACATCTCCATACATAAGTTTATCACTACGTTTAATTAATTTCACTAGTCAAATTGGTTGCGCCTCAAACCTCTTGCACAGGGGTCATCAACTTTTTCAACACTTGGTTATCTTTAGATTACCAAATGGCTTAGGCACTACTATAGATTTTTAAATTGAAATTAGGTGTGCATTGTGCAAAAAGTGGGAAATTGTTTACAGCCGCAGTCAATTATTTTCCATCATGGGTTCGGATTTTCAATATCTCATTATTGTGAGTCTAATAGAATTGTTATTTATAGCCTGACGGTCGCCAGACCCTTTTAGTTCCGCCTTGCTCCACCAGAGGCATTTGCCTGAAGGTCTGGGATTGACGCCAATGCAAACTCCTTCAGGAGATCAAAAAATAATCGGCCAATCAGGATTGCTGGTGTTACGTCGGGTTTGCACCGCCTTCTCGTGCGTGTTTCACGCGGCAGCAAAAATAATATAAGATGGCAATATAAGTGACATTTTTAAAAAGTTTAAATACGAACAAAAAAGACACAGATTTCACTTTTAATGCAATATGTTGATGGTTCTATGTTGTTATATGTGTGTTTTAAAGGAATAGTTCACCGTTTTTACATACTGACACATGTTCTTACCTTACCTTAGACTAGTTAATATGTACCTGTCTGGTCTTAGTCCGTGCGCTCTGTCATGCAAACGGAGCAAAAACGGGAGCACAAACGCAGCCTCCTCTGTATACTGTATAGTACCCAAAAGGTAGCTCCCGCTAGATGCTACCAAACTCTTCCAAGTGTTCCCTATTAAATGTATATAGTTACGTGACGTGTTACACTGCAAAGTATAGTAACACAGAACACATGTACTATATTGTGAGGCGTAGTAATCTGAGGAGCGCTACGTCCGCGCACTAACTTCTCTCCGTACTACAAGTCACGCTGCTTCTATTGACGGAAGTGAGCGAGAGAGAAGTCTCCGGAGAGAAGTTAGTGCGCGGACGTAGCGCTCCTCAGATTACTACGCCTCACAAATAGTACCCGTTTTATCCGCTGAGAAAATCGACAGTTACATTTCTGTGTTACTATACTTTGCAGTATAACACGTCACGTAACTATATACATTTAATAGGGAACACTTGGAAGAGTTTGGTAGCTTCTAGCGGGAGCTACCTTTTGGGTACTATACAGTATACAGAGGAGGCTGCGTTTGTGCTCCCGTTTTTGCTCCGTTTGCATGACAGAGCGCACGGACTAAGACCAGACAGGTACATATTAACTCGTCTAAGGTAAGGTAAGAACATATGTCAGTATGTAAAAACGGTGAACTATTCCTTTAAGAGTCAAATGTTCGTGCAAAGTGTGGTTTAAGTGATCCTGTTACAGGTTGCATGGTTTTCCGCATACTTTTTTCCAAGCGACTTATAGGTAATAAATAAACAGAAAGACAATAAACAGAATCATGATAGCCAAAGTTGATTACGTTACGTTTTTAGCCAAAAATCATTCTGGGGTTTTATTTTTTGGGCATTCTCGCGGGTTTTGGGCTGGAAAATCTTTCCGGTATTTGGCAACCCATGGGAGTTGTGTACTGAATCGTGTGCTTCGATGTGAATGGTTTAACGAACACATCATTCAAGATAACTGACAAGTGGTTTATCCAATCACATACAAGGATTTTTAACAAGGCCCCGCCTTCTGAAATGTGTCCGCTATGAAGCAGACCCAGACTTGTGTGTATAGCTCAGCGAACTACAAGGGTCTGGCGAGAGTCAGGCTAGGTTATTTATCCCCTTACTCTACTTTCAAACTACAAATATGGAGGACCAAACCTGTCAAAATAATAAACAAATTTATAAATATCACAACCAGCAAATTATTATTAAGAAATTGCTGAAAATTATGAGATTTACTATTGTAGGGTAAGGTTACTACTGTAAGCTATAAATTGTAAGAGAAGAATAGTGCGGCTAGTCTCCGAATCAGAGGCTGGCCGTCCTATTCGAGTGGGGATCTGCTTTTTATTTTTGGGCACCAGCAGAGTTAAATTTCTGCACAGATCCAACTAATTTGCCTCGAATCAGTCTTATAATCTAATAGGTAGTGAATGCGTAAATCAGCCAGAGATATCCAAGACTTGACAAAACGACTCTGATATGATTGAGTTAAAAGTAAAGGGGTTTTATTGACTACAAAAATTGAAGATAGAAAATATAACGAAGGGGATTTCTGGTCACATTAAACAGAAGTTGTATACATCTCATTCGAAACACACATGTAACACAGGAACAGTCTTACTTTGGGCCGTTCAAGGGAGATGCTGATGAAAAGAGGAGGATGGAGAATGGAGATGAAGGATGAGGATGAAGAATAGGATGGAGGCGATGTTCTCGTCCACGTGGTCTTTGTTCGAACAGGGAGCAGGAGGAAGCCAGCAAATCGGATCCAGGCGTGGGTTCCACACACAACACGGTCTAGAATAGCGTTGCGGTGGGGTGTTCCAGGGAGCCCGAAAGTGGCTGGCGATGGAAGTTCCTTGTCTCCGACAGCGAGAGTGACTGCTGTCCCCGTGGATGTACAGGCCCGAGATGGTGGCGGGCGTAGGTCGTGTAGGAGACACGTACCGAAAAGGAGAGTTGCGATAGTGATTTCGGGAAAACCAAGAGGCAGTCTGTGGGTCCGCAGACTGGTTTTGTTGTGGTCAAAGTGGGCGCGTCCGTGACGTCATCCATGTGCGACAACCCTCTGAGCCGGCATGTTCACACAGGCGAAACACAACACATATAGACATTCTATCGTTCATAATCATATACCGATACACAGTGCATTCACATCACAGACAACGCCACATACGAGTAGTGTCCGTAACGGTTATCAACATAATGTCATCGGGGAATGTCCGTTTCGAGTGTCCGCCTCGGGTGTGATGGTGTCCGGTATCCACTGGGGGGCGCCATAACGCCGTGGGTGAGTCGTTGATTGTCCAGGGACAGGAAGGTCCCGGGAGTGAGAGCAGAGTTGTGATCTTTGATCTCTACAGGCAGGCAGAGACAGAGATGTTTATTCCCGTGGTGACTTTATTGCTCTGTTTGACGCCTGTAATCCCCATGATCAATGGCAGTCCTCCGGTCGACCTCGCTGTTCCTTTGAAGCAGCAGTGGGATGTCTCCCTCCTTTTGGTCGAATGTTTACACAGTCCAGGGCCTGGCTCTGTTGTCCGGCCCTGTCCCTTATTTAACCTTACATACCCCCCCCACGGCAGAGATGCACCTTCCGACAAGGTGCATGTCATGTCGGATATGCCGGGCGGGTGTCCTCGGTCGGTCGTCTCGCCTGTTCGGGTGTTAGTGCGTGATTTGTGGTGACATGTTACAACATTCTCGCCTTAATGTGACTCAGTAATGCGCGAGCGCCTAACTGGGGCCAGGCTCGTGGCGGTTGGGTCTCGGGCCTCTGGCTTGGTTTGTCGAGGCCGGGTTTTCTCTAAGGCGAGTCCTGCCCCTGCAGGCTAGTTCTAACCGGGATCAGGGGTTTCAGGGAGTGAGCTACGGCCGTGAACTCTAAGGTTTGGGCCGGTGCGCCTGACTCCTGGGTCTCTTGGTCTGGAAGACTCAAAGTTCCAAGCCAAGAGATTAGCAGGAGTTTCTACTTTAGGGGCCTAGGATACAAAAATATGAAACTTCAAAAATCAAAAAGGGTGGCTGTCTTGGCAGCGGGTAGGAGCGTCACTAAGGCACTCGACGGTGAGGGGTTCCCATCTTGCTTGTTCTAAAAAGGGGGGTATAAGGGTTACAAGACTGTATGACGTAGCAAGTGGGACTTTAATTACGAGGGACATTTCCTGTATATACACGGGGATGACAGGTATGATTGTCTAGGAGACTGATTAGGTATCGAGGTAGATATGTTTGGATCTGAGCTAGTGACTCTTAGTGGGGTTTTAGGCCCTTGGTTCACCTTCTGTGATAGAAAGAGTGACCGTCTCGAGTGGGTGGCTTTGGAGGTCCTCGTACTCTGATTCGTTGACCTGGGGGCGCCGACTTAAATTGCCACGCTCGACGGCGCTGTCGCCCCGGTTTGGTCGTTTACGGATCTGTCTCGTCATTGCCTCCGTGCACCTGTTAAAGCTATCGCGGAGTCGTCTAACCCGTCTATTTAGGACGAAGGCCATGGCTACGGCCAGAATGTCCTCAACTAACGATAGCGGCATGAGGTAAGGCGGGATACGGCCAGGGCTGGACTGGCCATCGGGCGTACCGGGCAATGCCCGAAGGGCCGATGCCCATATTTGGGCCGGTCTGTCTGCCTCATACAAAAAAATGTTTTGTGAAAAGTGTAAATCCGTTGAGAACTGTTCGAGGGGGCGCGCGTGTCCGCGGGGCACCTGCTGTATGTACTCGAACGGGATTCCACCACCTCAGCGGCCGCAGTGTTCCGGCA